CGGGACAAAGACGCCCGCAGCCTTGAGAGCGAGGCGCGGCGAGGCGGCGCAGTTCCTCTCCACGGGCTGCGGAAGCGAAATGCTTGATGGGAAACGACTCGCTGCTATCTCGAGCTGAGCGCTCATTGGTGGTTTTTTCCACGTGCTGGTGATGAAACTCTCCAATTGGCTCGGCAAAAGTTTGTTGTTGTTTTGTGTCAGTTTTACGTCGCCACATCCATTCCCATTTTTCATCATTGTTCCACAATATTTATCATCATGAAATGAATATCCATATATTTTATACTATACTTTCACTGCTTACCGTTTTCATACTTTATATATCTTAGCACATTCATACACACTGTTCATACTGCTCACATGCTGATATCTAGTGTATTCATACCCCTCACTGTTTATTCATCATTCAATTCATTCTATATTTTATTCTGTCTATTGTGTACATTACTTTTCACTTTACTGCTTTTTGCACCTGGTTAGAAGCTAAACTGCATTTTGTTGTCTCAGTACCTGTAATATGTGCAATAACAATAAAGTTGAATCTAATCTTGAGCAGGAACAAATGTATTTACTTAGTACATATCTGACATTAACGATTAAACACATGTGTGCATTCTTTATAAATGCAAACTGAGTCAAGCCGACTCCGGAGGTGGCGGTATGCACCTTAAAGTTGTTTGAAATCCGCCAAATAACCGAGAGAAGAAGAAGACGAAGCCGACTCCGAGCTGTCCGACTTCATGCGAGCTTTTTGAGACCTCCCCCGGCTGCGATCGGCTATTCTCGTCTACTTTCGAGGCGATCCGCAACGCGTCTCAAACAAGCCTACTATCCGGATGACTATTGCGTGTGGACGGAAGCTTTTTTGCGATTGCGTCTATGCGTTTAGCCGTTTTCGTCCTCGTGTGGCCGGGGCATAAGACTGCAGGTACATGTTTGATGTATTTTGACCAACCAACATGGAAAAAACCACACACATCTGCGGTCATAGAGTAATTCAAAGACCAGCTTCCCCTTTTAGGATTGATTTCTGGCTAATTTATACCGACTATAACGTCTCTTCTAATGTATTTTTGATACATGTTTTCACCTGTGATGTTCATCATTTACCACATTATGGTTGGGTTGTTTGTTAATTGACCCACATGTAAAATTGGTTGACCTCAGCATTTGAAATAATACTGAAAAAGTACGGTTTACACCCTTAATTATGTCAGGAAAATGATGCAGGGAAAGAGACATTAGTTAGCTTTTTAGTCTCATTGCATGTTGTTATCTCAATGAGAAGAGAACATTCAGTTTTTCTGGGTTGAGCTCTGATGTTGTCGTGCCCTGCAGGGCTCAGAGAAATCTGGGTGGAAGACACAGTGGCTGCTGGAGACCCTGCATAGCCTCTGCCCTCCGACCCTTGGAGAGCGGCCCCGACCTCAAAGACCCGCCCAGAAAGAACCTCCGAAAGCAAAACACGAGGACCACATCCAGAGCCATCTGGCTGGAGCAGAGCCAGAAGCAGATTAGCTGTTAACAGTCTCATCAAAATCTTAATGTTGCTTTTTCAGCTGTGAGTCAATATGCAATAAATAATATTATGTTTATAATGTATTGTCTATGTTGGAGAGAAACTTTGGGATTTTAGCCTTTGCACACTACAGGAAAGGGAAACCCCCCCCGAAAGCATAATAAGACCCCTTTACTAACGTATTTCAGTAAAGGGGGAAACAAATGTTATAAGAAATGTTGCATCTACAGTATTCAACAAAAAATAGCTAAATCAAACGTTTAACTAAACTAAAGGCTAATTTGCATTTGTATTATTCAAGTAATAACCTCCTACTGTTATTTCAAGGTCTGTTATAACTACCATAGTGTTAAATAGTTGTCGCGCAAATATTTTGTTTGGAGAAAGAAAAAAAAGTACACATGATAAAACACTTACGTTGATCATGTCTTTTACATTATAGCTCCCTGAATCCAACACAACATGGAAGAGAATAAGTTGCATCATGCATTTCAATATCAAACTGTGTTCGGTGTCTGAGGCTTGGGGAGGGACAGATTACAAGTAACAGGATTACGCAATCAGGATGCAAGAAAAAGTTCACTGTATTCCATTACAGTTACATACAAAGTAGACGTAATCAGATAAGTGTAACATTTCTATAAATTGTGGGATTTCTAGCAGGTTACAAAGTTAGTCAAAAACAAAATGAGAGCATTTAGTGTTTTTTGTAAGAGGATCAGTTTTTATTTCTTCTTTGTAAACTGTACTGTTCTGTAGGCTAATACTTTAAGTGTGAATCTATTCCCCTACTGCCTGGACTTGCTTTATGATTTATTTGGTTAATTTGCTCTTTTTTAAATTCAGTATAGGTGAACCTATATGTTCATAAAATAGTGTGTGTGAGTTTAACTGTAATTATTCAACTGAAACTGAGCATAGCAGCTTTTTTATACTGTATATGTGATCATATGTTTCCTTGTTGGTGTATACGCTACTGTCTGAATATGCTTCATGAAAGGCAGGTTTTTCTATAAATATAATCTCTGAGCAGAGGACACATTTCTGATACAAAATATTTTATTTTTTAAGGTTACATTTTCTTACATAATACACTTAATATAAAAAACAACACCTTGGCATTTAAAATTGCATTTGATATTGAAGTAATCCAAACGTAACAGAAAGTAATCAGGTTACATTACTTTTATATTTTGAAATTCAGATTGCATTTTTACAGCTATCTAGTAATCGTAACGGAATACATTTGTAAAATACCCCCCCCCCTTTCCCATGGTCTAATGCCCCGGCCACACGAGGACGAAAACGGCTAAACGCATAGGATTAACGCAAACGCAATCGCAAAAAAGCTTCCGTCCACACGCAATAGTCATCCGGATAGTAGGCTTGTTTGAGACGCGTTGCGGCTCGCCTCGAAAGTAGACGAGAATAGCCGATCGCAGCCGGGGGAGGTCTCAAAAAGCTCGCCTGAAGTCGGACAGCTCGGAGTCCATGGCTGCTTCTCAGGTCGACTATTTTCATTTCCTCGCTCCTCGGTCCTCTGTCTCACCGGAAGTTGATTTGCCTGCGCCATCTTGAGTACCGTCCCATGGCTCTTATTTCTGCCGGAGGACCGAGGATCGAGGAGCGAGGAGCGATCATGGAGGAGCGATAACCGAGGAACCACCAGACCATCCTCCGATGAAATCCTCAGATACTCACCCCGCCCCCTTACTGTGTATCGCTCACTGATTGGACGAGGCAGTGATGGGTTTGATGCTTCTTGACATGAGAGCAGAGTGAAGAAAATACATGAACCTCACGGGAGTCACTCCTCAGTTTATACCGTGTTTTGTTTCAATTCATGTATCATTTAGTTACAAATATGTGATATATCTGAACAACAAAGTGGTCAAAAATCATTTAATTCATTTTTTGGAAACATTTTCATGATCGCTTTTTTCGTTTTACATTTTCATTTATTGTCATTTCCATTCAGTCAGTCATTAAGTGCTATTGAAATGTTAATATGCTACATATCCACACAAACACACAAAGTGTGCAATCCAATGAATGTTAATCCAACTGGGTTTTGATAGATAACATATATCTTTTTCTTCTCTCAATTATTTTATTTCTTTAGTGCACTCTAATCAATATTAATCAAACTATTGTTCGTTTATACATTTTAAGAATGGCGTTTATCTTTTTTGAGAATTAGTTCTTATTTTATTTTATTTATTGGGGTCTACAACAGATGATACAAATGTTTGTGTCAGTAAATGTGTACTACTAACAGAGGCGGGGGTGTGTGGAAATAACGGGGACATGAGCTGCTGTCAGACGATCAGCTGTGCAGCGTCATCACAAACGGACGTCGCTTCACGTGACGCTCCGGAGGAAAGGACGTCCCATTGCTCTTAAAACTCATTTCCCTGCTTCTCGTGGTTTCCTTGCGTCCCTCCATGCTTCCCTGGTGGGAGGGACTAAACGCAGGGAAACGACGCAGGTGAGGGAAGCAAGGATTTCATTTAATCGACCTGAGAAGCAGCCCAAGTCGGACAAAATGACTAACCATCATGCAACGCACTAGCAAGACGTTGACCGCAACTGCGCAGGTCTGCGCAGGTCTCGCTTGTCTCAAACAAGCCTACTGTGTGTAGCTGAATGCGTGCATTGCTGACTGAAAGATAACGTCTTCTTCCTCCATTTCTCCGTTCGCTACAATATGTTGGAATCATGTTAATGTGCATTTAAAGACATTTCAATTTGTGGGAAAAAAATGTTTGGAATTTTTTTTTTTTTAAGAAATATAACAAATTGTCTAATCAACCAAAGATTTTGCGACCCCCCTGCAGTACCTCCGCGGACCCCCTGTTGAAGACCTCTGGTCTAAGTTAAGACTGGTTATTACTGGGAGAGGGGGGAGGGAGAGACCCCAGGCCCAGAGCAGCAGAGCTATGTGAAGTTACACAGAGAAACACAAACCGGAAGTTGTAGACTTTCTTAATGTTGTGTTTGCTAATGGTTTCCATAAAAAATAAAACACAAATATTTTACGCTTTCACAACATCTGAGTGGTTAAGAAGTTTGGGAAATGCTCGGAATATTCTTCTTTTTTCCAGTCGTTTGGTTTATGGTAGGATAACATGTGGACCTTTTAAATGATAATTTCCTTTAATAAAAACAATAAATATGAAATTGATCAGACTCCAGTGTATAACAGTTTTCTTGAGAAAAAGTCAGGAAATAATACGTTTAGGCTATACTCAAGCTACACAAAGGTCGGATATGTTTGATGTACTTACATAATGTACATTATTATGCTGTGACGCTCATTTTGTGCTTTTACGTTAATACGTTTTCGAATCTTAGTTGTAATCTATGGTTGGAACGGAGTAATCTTCTACACTGCCACTCTCGTTTTATTCCTTGGTCAGGTTTTTACTTTGAAAGTTACAAGCGGACGCTGGGTGCTCTTGCTGTATTTAAAGCTTGACTGTGGTAGGAGGGAGCAGGGACTGCGGTCATAAACAAACACACGCAGTACAATCCTTACTCTCTTATGGAGCTCTCTTCTGGCGCTTTGGCAGCACTGGCTGACTTTCATTAAAGCTGAACGTCTTCACGGACCGAGCTTTAAAGTCAATACAGGTTCGAAAATAATCCAGCACTTTATCGAGAAAAAAAACTCAAGGATTTGTATCCCCGTTTGCCTCCCTCCCCCCTTTACCCGGACGGAGGCGGCTTATGTGACACATTAACGTCCCGGCAGCGAAACGAGCGAAACATGACGGAGCTGAGGAAGCGAGGTGGAGGCGGAGGAGACCCTGACAGCAGCGACAAGGTAAACTGCACCGTGACATGGGGAAAAAACACCAGTTTCGTCTGGAGACATCGCCCTCAAAACAAGTTAGGCAGGTTTGTCAGCTAAACAGGCAAGCTAGCTGGGTTGCCAGGTTAGCAGTGGAGCTAATTAAGCTAGTTAGTTAGCAGCTGGCTCACCGGTAATCCTGCTATAACATCAACGCGGTAAAGGAAATGGACCTGCGTGGAGAATAAGACGTGTTTTTGGTGCGGGGTCCCCGTCATGGCTGGGAATGTCTCAGCGTTTCTCACAGTGTCATAATGAAATAGTTACATTGATGTCGTGCCCATGCTGGTTTAGTCAGGCTTGACTTGGATTTGTTTAGTTTAATTAGAGCGTTAGAACAGGTGCAAGGCTGGGAAGGCCTCGTGTGTTGTTGTGTGGCAGATTGAGGGGTCCAGGTCTCAACAACAATGCATTTAAAATACTTAATTACCTTATTCTTTTTCATGTCTACTTCTCCCATTTCTTTAAAACAACAGGATCCAAATACTTGAATATGTGCATGGAATCTGCATTGATTCAAATAGCTTTCAATCATGTCCATACAGGGATAGAGTCAATAACACGACGCTGAAGTTGGCTTCCGATTCAGAGCATCCGATTCGGCAGTTAAGGGGAAAGTTAAGGGACATTTAATTTACAGCGCTGAGCGAACAATCCTCCGTGTTTGAACCTCTTAAATCGCTGCATAGCCGATTTATTTGGACTGGATTATCCCAGAGAGTCTAAAGATTCTTTATAACCCAGTTTGAGATTTGTGAAACCTTTATTCTATTTGTGAAAATACAAACAAGGGATACAAGCGGCCGAGATGGGTTTTCTCCGCAGGGTGGCTGGTGTCTCCCTTAGGGATAAGGTGAGAAGTTCGGTCATCCGGGAGGGACTCGGAGTTGAGCCGCTCCTCCTTCGCGTCGAAAGGAGCCAGTTGAGGTGGTTCGGGCACCTAGTTAGGATGCCACCTGGGCGCCTCCCTAGGGAGGTGTTCCAGGCACGTCCAGCTGGGAAGAGACCAAGGGGTAGACCTAGGACCAGGTGGAGGGATTATATCTCTTCGCTGGCCTGGGAGCGCCTTGGGATCCCCCAGTCAGAGCTGGTTGATGTGGCCAGGGAAAGGAACGTTTGGGGCTCTCTGCTGGAACTGCGGAATCTCAAATCTCAAACTGGGTTATAAAGAATCTTTAGACTCTCTGGGATAATCCAGTCCAGATTTGATGAGTCTAGGTATAGTGGTTTCAGATCAGGACCTGGTCTAATGTGGTCTAGATGCGAACAAAGCACTGAAATCTCCCTTGTTTGTATTTTCACAAATGGAATAAAGGTTTCACAAATCTGAAACTGTTATAAAGAATCTTTAGCCTCTGTGGAATAATCCAGTCCAAATAAATCGGCTATGCAGCGATTTAAGAGGTTCAAACACGGAGGATTGTTCGCTCAGCGCTGTAAATTAAATGTACCTTAACTTTCCCCTTAAACAGCGTCGTGTCAATAACAAACTCTGTTTACAATTGAAAGAGACTCATGGTAATTAAAATTGATTTATATAAATAAATTATGGTTGAGTTTTTAAAAGGGACAAGTTAAAGCAAAGTAGTGTCAAATGCACGTCGAACTAAGTATATAAAGTAGTCATTATAGTACAATTACATTTTCTGATGAAGAGTTTGATGGTTTATTCTTCTCCCTGGAAACAGATGATGAATCCCTCTTTAGCTCAAGGCCCATTTACTCACTGGAGCTTTCAACAAAATTCAACCGTCAGGTCAATTGTATTCACTATTTATTTTGTTTCCCATGCACTATTCTAAACATTTAGAACTTTTTGGCAAAGTTTAGCTTAGCTGTTAGTTCTTTACCATGAGCATGGCGATTTTGGATTTAATGGGCAATGATAGGATCAGGATCCTTTATTTGTCCCACAGTGGGGACATTTACAATGTTATAGCAAAATGGACAGAGCAGATAAAAGGCAATATAAAAAATATGTAGAGTAAAACAAAAAACAGACAAGCACATGTTAATAAAATAAAAACCAAAAGTTCACATCAATGGAAGTAATGCTTTCAGAAAGTCTTTCCAAACATAAGATTGGGGGGGAAACCAAACAAGGTTGGATAGGCATTTGCAATACATTTTCATTTGTAGTTTTAGTTTAGGAATCCCTAACCCTAATAATATGACAATAACTCGGTCAATCTGATGAATAAACAATAGATTGCTTTATAAAATACTATATTCAAAGTTACAGAACTAAATGTGCACACATACTGTAACCATGATTTTTAGAGTTGTAGTGAGAAAATGAATCTTTATATTAGGGCTGTGCAATTAATCGTATTTTAATCGCGATTACGATTATGGCTTGCGACGATTATGAAAACAGCATAATTGACAAAATACGATTATTTTGCTGGGTGCGCTTTCGCCCCTCCCTAAAAGCCCACTCGGCCACGTGGGAGTGACATGTGTTGTGAGTGTTCAGCGCGAGCGAAGATGTCAGAACAAGAGCAGCAACTCGTTAAAAAGAAGGGTAAAACTATTTGCAAGTACTTTGCCATTACATTTCACATCGCTAAAGATATGTGCCCAGTTAGCACTGTTAGCAACCAGGGCTTTAAGCAACTTGTCAACACGTTGGACAAGCGTTACGCGATGCCGTCTCGGTATTATTTCAGCAGGTCTGCGCTGCCTGCACTATATGACAAATGCCGTGGGGAAGTTGAGAGAGATGTGGCTTCAGCTGACTACTTTGCCACCACAACAGACCTATGGTCTAGCCCAGGGGTGCCCAACCAGTCGATCGCAAGATGTGTCTAAAAATAGAACAACAATATTCTGTTTTATCGTTAATGTCCTGTAACATAATCTTCCTGTGTCAGAATAATGCACTTGAACGCATCAAAGCTTTGTGATTGGCCGACGTCACCCCATGTGTTGGGGCGTGGCTGAGGGTCTTCAGTACAGGTGGCAATATCGTCACCTGCCTGCGCTCATCTCTGAAACCAGACCATGTAAACAGGCTGTTGTTTCTTGCAAAAAATCTTTAAGAGATGACACGAGCAGCCCTACCAGCATTTGCCATGGTGGCCTAAACATTTTTATTTGGTCTTAAATTGTAGTTCAACATTTATTTCCTGTTACTTCTGGACCATGACGGTTGGCCAGCCTTCAACGTTTAACTGAGTGGAATAATGAATATGTTTTACCAAAATGTTGGCTATATGTTAAGGAGTGTTCAGTAGGTTGTGACAGTGCACTGCATCATATTTGATTTCATTTATTTTTGGTCTAATTTATTTTTATTTATCATATTAATAATATATGTTTAGTATGGTTTTGGAAGTGCGCTCCAACATATTTGTTGATCTTGTTTATTGGTAAAATATTATTTGTTTTAAAGTTCAATAAATGGTCAATGAATAATCGTCAAAATAATCGTGATATCAATTATTGACCAAATAATCGTGATTATGATTTTTGCCATAATCGCACAGCCCTACTTTATATTACAGTTCATTCTATTTATGTGCGGTTGGACGGATGTACTAGATGTTTATGGACAGTAATGAAACTACTTTTTGTTTGCTATTTTTGCCATATCCATCTTTTTACAAGCTGTATGGTCAGCTATGGACCGCTTTCCATCTCTTTATTTCCCAGAGTCTTCCCCTCAGTTGGACTGTTTCAAAGGTTAGACAGTGAACTCCATCCAACAGCTCAACCAAGGCGTCCTACCAGCAGCCCCTGTGTAATGTATGTAGGGCTATGTTGTGCAATATTACTGAATAACTTTCTTTAATGATTCAGCATAGCTGATATATATCCCAATGAAAATTAGAACAAATGATGCAAAAATTATAATTCTCTTGATTATTGTGAATAATATAAATAGGGGTTTTTCTAGAAAAGTATAGCATGTGGGCGCTAACGTAACTTCCAGTAAAAATTATGGCCCGTACACTTTCCCGCGAAAATAATGCATTAGAGCGAAGTGGTAAATAATAGTTTCTTCATGTCTTAATTGAGCCCCACGGGGGCAAAAACACAACATCTGCAAGATACAGCATCTGAGGGCTTTCTAACATTTAACAACCTATTAATGTGTCATACCCACTGAACGGGAAGAAACTCAGCTAACTGATGATATGAACAATTTTTACCGAAAGAAAACACAACTCTAACGCCGAGCCTCTGAATTAGCCCTGAGCGAAAATATTCGAACGCACTTAACACAGAACTCACGGTATAAATACTTTATTACTTATCGGATCTGCAAAAACAAGATATCAGATTCTTGCGGTATAAGTATCGTCACTGTGCGACCAAAACTCAGGGCAGCGAAGGCAAACCCAGACAACACACCACGTAGCTTTACGGAGCCAAAATGGCAAATATTTCTTACCTTTAGTGGTGCCCGATAATTATCGGTCCGATATTAGGAATTATGACGTCATCCCGATAAACCCGATAAAAGTATTAATAGCCCCGATAATATACAATATCTTTTTTGGGTAAGAAAAAAATACTGCGGTGTGGGTGGATTGGTATGAGGGGCGCTCGTTTTTCCTTCGGCTCCTCCCGTTTTGCCAGTACTGTGGTATTAGTGGTTTAGGAAGAGGGGAGTTTTTCACAAATCCAGCGCTCCCTAACTCATGCCTGGCTGTGACGTAAATGGTGTGCGGCCGTGAAGCCAGGACAGTAAACAAACATGTCGTCGGTAGTATGGGACTATTTCAAAGCTTCAGAGTTAGATAGTTCGCTTGCTATTTGTATTAACAAATGCAATGCAGAAGTTCCACGAGGAGGGAAAAAGGCAACGAGCTATAATACTTCCAACCTGATTAGTCACCTGAAACATCGCCATCGCTACGATGGTGTGTTAAAAGCGTACGAAGACGCCTGCGCTGCTAAACTAGCGGCGAATCCAAAGCCAGCTGCAAAGGCACCGGGGGCTTTTACCTATCGACGAGGCTTTTGAA